CCCCCCCCCACCTCTGTCTCGTCGCGGCGCGCCCCCTTGTTATTTTTAAATATTTGCGGGCCGCGTTCGCGATTAATGAAGCGGCGTACCCGCGACCGGGTTTTCGTTCCGCTGATTTTTCCAGCGCGATCTCCGCCCGAAAAACCTCTCGTCGGCTAATCGCGCGTCAGAAACCAGGACGAAACGGTTGGTGCGTGCGAACGGAAGCATCGCTGTCCTCCGCGCCGACAGAACCGCGCTTGGATTATTCTCCGTCCGCCTGGCGTATTATAATTTATCGACTTCACGGTATAACGATTTATGCAACGTCGTTTTTCACCGACAGATATTTCCACTTCCGTTCGACGCGCGGAAAAATTCGAGCAACCCACCCAGACGTATTGGTTCGCGCAACGAGTGGAGTAAACTGGGCGAGGAGTTATGAGCGGACTTGGGAGATTTATAATGATCGTGGGAATTTTTTAAGGAAACTTTGTGTGATCGGTGACCTTGAAATCCATCTAAGACCCTGGAAATAGTGAGAAATCCGCCGAGACGTATCGGTCCGCACCGACTGGAGTGACCTGGACAAGTCTGGGGGTTATGAGTGGACTTGGGAGATTTATAATGATCGTGGCAACTTTCAAACGAGAGTTTATGTGACGTGTGCCTTTGAAATCCGTCAAATGTCCTAAAAAATGCAAGAAATACGCCCAGTCGTATCGGTCCGCAATGGCTGGTCGTGCAAACTGGACCAAAATGGATTCGCGGGGGTCAGAGCGATCGTGCGAACGTTTGATTGAGATTTGGGAAGTTTTGCAATCGGCGAGTGGGGTAAAGATTGAGATAAAGGTGTGAAGTTTTACAAGACTTAAAGCGTTCACAGTACAATGATAAAATCCTGAAACGGTAAAGCAGTAATTTTTCTTTAAATAAAAAGGAGTAATAATGTCTGCGATCAAGTATGAGCACGAAGAGATCATACCGTAGGGTCCGGATTGCAGGTTCAAGAGGGTCGACGTGATTCTTAAAACCCCCCTTGGGGGAGGGGAAGGGGGTCGTTCTCGATGGAGAGCGCGAAGCGAAACGGAGACGTCGATCGATTTTTCTCCATTTCGAACGAGCGTCCCTGGAGTCCTCTTCGAGACGATTTCCATATTGAACGTATCTTGGTAGCAATTTCGAGATTTTCCTGTAAAGTGAAACCTGATCTTTTGAGGCGACAAGCGTTGACTTTACACCGCGGGAACTTTTAGAAAATTGCATAGAAGAAGTAATAAATATCATGATAAATATCACTCGATGATCACTCTAATCGAATCGTGGTGGTTCGTCAGGTTACGGAAACATTTGTCCGAAGACGAAGTGGGGCAAAGTGGCGACCATAGTGTACGCCATAATAGGCATGCCACTTTTCCTGCTCTACCTCAGCAACATCGGCGATATTCTCGCGAAGAGCTTCAAATGGACTTATGCTCGCTGCTGTCTCTGCAGGTGAACGTTCTATTCTTATTCTAATTCTCTCCTTAGACTTCAAAGGACAACGCAACTCTATTCTAACTCTACAGGGTATTCCAGAATTAGTGTACGGACCGGAAATGGGAGGTAGCTGAGACGATTCTGAGCAACAATTTCCTTTGCAAAAATTTCGGATGTGGCTTCGTTTTTGAATTATTAACGAAAAACCACCGACCAATCACAGCGTCCGAGTAGCGCGCGCTCAGCTGCGAGTGACTGGACCAATGGCTGGCTCGTATCGTCCTGGATCGACCACGTCTCTCGTGGCTGAGCGCGCGCTGTGATTGGCCGGTGGTTTACGTTAATAATTTAAAAACAAAGCCTCATACGAAATTTTTCCAAAGGAAATTGTCGTTCAGAATCGCCTCAGCTACCTCCCATTTCCGGTTCTTACACTAATTCTGGGACATACTGTATACTCTGACTCTACTAATAATAAACCAACGTAAAAATTTGTTCTGTCAAGGTGTCGCAGGAAACCGCGCGAATTGACAGTGAGAGGCGTCCAGCGCGATGGCGTCGACATCAGGAAAAATCATTGGCAGGTGAGTTTCCTTGAAGACATAAAAACTTGTTCGTCCTCGCGGAACTTTGTCGAAGCCTGAGAATCGAATCGATGCTCGTGTATTTGACAGTGACGTCCCAATAGCTTTGAGAGTGGTCAAACTGTGAAATTAAGAGACGTGTTCGTTGATAGATGGTCAACATGCACGGAAGGGAGATCGACGCATCCAGCGTGGACAAAGAAATTTCCTTGGAAAGCAGCGAGGGGCTGGAAGAGAGCGATGGGGATGACGATGACGATGGGAGCAGCAGTTACGACCCGCAGCAAGTCACGGTGCCTCTGACCATATGCGTCGCGATAATGGTTGGGTCAGTATCGCTATTTTTTAACCACACTAATGAGAATGAAATTCAAAAAATGTTTCGTTAGATTCTCCCGCCAGTGTCATCGATCGATCGACAAGATTTGCACGACGAAAATGATTCCAAACACAACCATATTTGGACCACTTTTAATCTCGAGTGAAGGGTTTCGAAAGTTCAGTTTTGAACAAATTTTGAATACGTCGATTTAGAAATCGTCGTGTTTGGACTCGTTTTCGTCAGGCAGACTTCGTCGATCCATCGATAACATTCCCATGAAAATATATGGGAAAGATATTAAAAAATTGCGCGCGGCACCGCTTTGAAGTTATTGCGATCGATACATTTATATCATATACGATGCTTCATATAAGAGTAAAGGTACATGTCTCGATTTTTTGTCGGACAGACTGATACATCAGTGTCAATTAAATCCCCACAGAAGTGGAACTTCGTGTTCTAAAAGTTCCTCATTTCGAACGACTTTCCAGATACATTTGGGGCGGAGCGATCCTGTTCTCCGAGTGGGAGGAGTGGAACATGCTGGACGGCTCTTACTTCTGCTTCGTCTCCTTATCGACCATAGGTTTCGGAGATATAGTCCCCGGCGACAAGATCTACGCTGCCCAAGGCTTCGATTTATCCTTCATCTTCTGTTCCATGTACCTGATGCTCGGTGAGTGTAAACCTGTCGCGAGTCTTATTGGCTTTGATGTTTAATGTTTCAACCTCGAGATCGACGGGCAACGTTGATCTATTTCACAAAATAAGGCTCGCAGGAAATTACGTAATAAATAGTTCGACGTAGGAAACTCGGTATATACTCCATTTTCCTAGTCAACGAAACGATTTTGTAAAATATCATACTGTAAAATAATCTAAAAGACTCTAGGAAGCTGCATATCGCATCGAATTCGCGACTGGACTTGATTCTTTTCGCGGACCAATACGTCTCAACCCAAACCAATACAACTGGACGTTCTCGGTTCAATTTTCTCGAAAGTTTACTCTTTGACATACAATTTCTATTGACGTCTGCGATTTGAATCGTCTGTTAAAGAAAATTGGCCACTCGAGAGAGAAAAAATGGCACCTACACCGTGTACAGTCCAGCGATAGCGACAATAACGTTGCAACGGTGTACAAAAATCGCGAATCGATCATTACGACGAGAATTCATTTGACGTTGATGAAAAAGATCCCATTTATCACGCGTACAGTTCGTCGGGGGAATTCCCCTGCGCATTCCATCGAGGAGACAATAATACAATAGAAACGATCGATATCAATAATTCTCAAGAGGGGCGATTTAAAAACTACCAGGGAACAGAGGTAGATGGAGTTTGAGTCGCGCGCGTGGCTTCGTTGGACTGTCGCGAAATTCGCGTCGGAATTGTTCTTTTGCTGGAGCGACAATCGGATTCCCGCGGATTTCCTGAGTGGGCGCGAGGCGGGGTTTGGTCGATCGGGGGCCGGTGGGGAGCGGGGAAGGGAACACGATGTCGCGCGGGCGGACTTAATCGTTTTAAAAGAGCTCAACAGCTTTAACTCGTCGAACGGGACTCCCGTTATCCGCTTTGGATAGGCTGGTTTCGCGGCGCGAGCGTATTAAGTCGCTCGTCGCGCCCAATAGCCGACAAAACCCTTTTATTTGCGCCGCTCGCGCGAAATTGTTCGTGAAACAAAATCCTCGATCACCGATCCAATGTGGCGGTTCGTGTTTATCAACCGTTCCATATTTTGCTACGCAACCGAAGTGATTGTTCGTCAAACTTGACCATTCCACGTATTAAAATATATATATTTACGCGAACCACCCTGTACATCGTTCCGAAATTTTGTCGCGGGTAATTAAGGTCCACCTCACACCTGCAAGTGGCAAAGTGTCGCGAAGCGTGTCAAGGGTTACGAGATCGATTGCTTCTTAACCCTCGCCGCTACATACACTACGGGACGAAAGTTTGACAACGCCTGGGACCTCTCGAGACCGTCGCAGATCGGTAGACTCGATTTTTACTGACGGTTGATTGTTTACAGCGACGTCAAAGAGATGGAACATTTCGGGTCGCCGTTGGTGGGACCTCTGAGTGTTTATCGTTGTCAAAGTAGAGAGACAGTTTGTTAGCGTCTGCCAAGCTAATTGATTCTCGATGGCCCGCGCAATTATCGAGGTCCTATGAACATATATCGAGATCTCGCAATTTATGATTCGAGTTTGATCAGATAATTACCTCTTCCAAATTTCAAACCTCAGGCGATGGCTACTAATTCACCTCGAATTCTACTCCTAAGCTGTAGAATAAAACTCCACTTGCTCGACTCGATCTGTACGTACAAGTGTAAATCGCGTTTCAAATAGGAACGACAGAATAAACAGGAAAGAATGGGATCGTATCGTCCCTTGATGGTATCTCGCGACGAGGAGCATGAATTTGACGTCGCTGTGTGTTGCAGGTATGGCGTTGATCGCGATGTGCTTCAATCTGATGCAGGAGGAGGTGATAGCAAAGGTGCGCGCGTTCGTGCGTACCGTTAAATATATATTCCGATGCGACAGGTGACCGAACTCCGTCTCAGCCGCATTCTGCACCTCCGACGACGTTCGGTGAGTCCAATCTTGTCACGTTTTATTCATGGAATATCTTGAAAACGTAATCACATAGGGGGTTGCGTTAGACGGGAAAGCGATGGCGATGCCGCGACGAAATATACAGGGATGAGATCTCGATTTACGCGACAAAGCCACCCTAAGAACGTCCTTCGTCGAGACGTAAAGGACGACGTAGGAAATTCGTTGTACGCTCGATTCCATTCGTCCAAGTCAATGAAAGCTTTTTGTACAATTTTTCACTCTAACGTAGTCTAGAAGACGCTAGGAAGCCGAATATCGCGCTGGATTCGCGAGCAGACCTAATTTTTTTTGCGGACCAATATGGCTCGGGCCAAACCAATACGACTGGACATTCTCGCTCAAGTTTCTCGAAAGCTTTTTCGTTTACTTGATGTTTCTTTTTATGGTTGTGATATAAAAGACATCGAATAGCCGTGTGCAACGTTAAATTCATGACTGGAAAGCCGTATGCTTCGAATTGTTAAGAATGATCGCGTTGATTCTTTCAAAAACTAATTTCACCTGCGCGCAAACGCTAGCATTGAACGTAACGAGCATTTTCCAACGAAAAATCTCCCAGCAGCCAATAAATAAGCGAGACACGGTATCGCCAGGTAACGCACGAGATATTCGCTAAAAATAAAAAACAAAACAAAAAAATGAAAAACCGCACAGCGTCGACGTTCGAGGAAGGTCTTCCGGGAGCGCGATGTCACTCGCAAAAAGAAAGAAGTTGTTTCTATCTGCGACGTCTCGCGGAATAGATAAAGGGAACAGAATGAGGATAGGGAGGGGAAGGGTGAAAAATGAAGTCTTCTTTCGAGAGGAAATATAATGGGACAGCGAAAAAATAGATCGACGGGTCTCGAATGACTATCCTTACGCGTCCGTGCTCTTATGCGACAGAGTACATCCCAGATTGGAAAAAGACATTCTATCTTTCCTCTGGAATATCGTGCCCTCGAAAATTTCTGAAATTTTCCTTCTACGGTATGTTAAGGGCGAAAATTAGGTCGATATCTCGGTTATTAGCCATCGTACAAAAAATTTGTAGGTACCAAAAAAAATTCTAAATTTAACATTCAGTCATACTTGTAGTATACATTTTTCTTTTAAAACCAACGATAAACGAGATATCGTCCCTGCAACTTGAAAAACTAGTTTCCACCCCTCGTACACAAGCATCAGCGTTAAAAAGGAACACTTGTCCGTTCCTTCCCACCGCTACGTGCCACCATGTGCCAAGTTCCACAAAAATCAACGCGTAACAGTTGGCCGATGTCCTCGCGAGTCCGCTCGAGTGTCTGTTCCCGAGGACCCTCCTGAAAAATAAAATTTCTGCCCCTGCTCGGCGACCTGTCCCTGTTTGTTATTACGGTAACTTTTCGACCCCTGTACGTGACACGTAGCGGGGATGGCCACGTAAAAAGAAGGTCGACGCGAAAGATCGCGCAGAGGTCCGTTGGGTCGCGTGGCCTCGGCCTTCGTCGTCCCGCGCTCCGTGGCGGAAGACGAAGGAGACAGAAGAGCGCGTTCGGCGATGAGAGCGCGCTGGGAGAGGGTGGGGGAGTTCTGGAAATAGCAAGAGAGGTTGTCGGAACGGGGCTGCGGCGTTCCTTCATGCGGCGATCGGACCGCACGAGGCCGCGCACGCGCGTCGCGTCCCTCGACGACTGATCCTGCGCCCTGCGCACCTTACGGGGTGCGTCCGTGCCGGCGACGCTCTCCATGGACGGCAGACAGTTCCCACGGCACTCGACGGACGCCGTTTCTCGTCCAAGCTCGTCTCTGCTCGACTCTCGCGTCGATACCTCCGCGACCTAACCCTGACCGGACCAGGCGTCCAGATCCGCGCCACTCGAACGCGTCCGCACGTTCGTCGTGCACTTCTGGCAAGCACGCGTCGTGATCTCGAAGATGCTGCGTCGCGACCCAGCGCGAGTCAACGTGGTAAGCCACTAAAGGCCTCTGACGGACCAGGAACTCGGAACAGCCTCTGCCCATGGCTCTGACGGATCGTGTTCCACCGATCCACGATCGCTCGTCCGAATCAGCGACACCAGGTTCGACACCGCCGCGTCCAGACCTTCGGGCAATCGCCTCGTCGACCGCGGTTCGCGTTGCCCCGTCGCGGAGGTCGCGTCTGTGATGAGTAGCGAGTGACGCGGATCAATGTAAACGACCCCGCTGTCCAGCATCCTCGACGCAAAGTAGCCAACAAAGGGCGGAATCGGAAGGGTGACCGTTGACAGCTGTCGTCCCACTGTCCAGGAACACCCTGTACCGTGGACTGGTATTTCGCGAGATCGGAAAGTGTTCCTCGTGCGCGACGTCCTCGTCCGCGGTTTGGATCGGATAGAAGCCGGCGTTGATTCGAGGGGATCGCGAGTTCGTGGCTCCCCGCGGGCTTTGTCGACTGGAAGAAGACGGGGGATCCACATCCAGTCGGATTCGATCAGGAAAAGTTTGCCCCGGACTGACATGCCTCGCGAAACGTCTGTGGGAAGTTGAAGGCTGCTACGATACGGACGGGAAAGCGATCGCTGGTAAGGTAAGTGCCAAGTTACCTAGGAGGGTGGGAGTTTGGAAGAAAGTTTTTCGAACGTTTCCGAATCGATGCGTCACCACCACCGAGACACCTCGTGCACACGTTTAGGGACACGCACGCGATTTTTATCGCGTTGCCGCAGTTCCGGACTGCCCCGCGTCTTGTTCCAACTCATACCGTAAGAAACGAGGTAGCCGCGAAGCGATTGTACACCTGAAGTCGATGAATCGCGACGGGTAGCGTTGACAAAACCGAAGTAGGCGCTACGAAGCTACGGTCCAAGTCGTTTAAACCTTGTGACGATAAAAAGAATTGTTCCCAAATAGTGCTACCCTTAGCCAGTCTTCAAGTAGACGGGTTCCTGATTGAATCGTGCTGTTTGTGCAATTTTACTCTCTAGCTCATCCAACATCTCTCTTTTCACCAAACGCTACCCCAAAAGCCTACATTCCTCCTGACAAAGAAAAAACTATCATAAAGCAACTCTATCCCTGGAATCAATCCCAAGGACCTCCATTGGTAAACCTGGGGTAGTCAGATGTTTAATCCTCAGTCTCGCTCTCCCTACAGGGTTTGCTTCACTGGGCCATCACCTGCATGGCCCCAAAAGAAAAAGATTAACAAAACCAAGCCTCGGAACTGGAGTAACTAGTCCTCCTGGTAGGGGAGAGGGGGTGGGAAGTCACTCGAGGAGGGTAGTTTCGTCGTGTTCGCGGTAAAAGCTGGTTTCGCTGACGAGTTGCCGGGTGAGCGAGCCGGAAGTGCTAACAAAGACGGGACATTTATCGGAAGCTGTTAACGCGGCTGGCTCGAGACAACTGCGAAATTACTCGGCGAAGCTTAAAGAGCTTAACGTTGGCCAGTTCGAATTGTATTCTCGTGGACGTTGCATGGACCGGTTGAGTTTGGTCTGAAAGTTGAGGATACGTGGATAGGTAGACCAATAGTAGCTGAGGATATGCTTTAGAGATACAGAAATGATTGGTGGAGTACTTAGGGAAATGGGGATCGGTTGGTAGCTGAGCTTTGGAAAAAAATATATATATATACATGTCGAATCGAGTAACCTCCTTCTTTTCGAAGTCGGTTAAAAATGAGGACGAGTTGGAATCTGTACCTTGCGACACGAGGACTACTTGGAGGACATGCTTTGAATCTTGAAGAGTAAGAATGCATACTTTGAACGTCGAGACTAAATCAAGAAACATTCTTCGTAGTAGATATACTTTTGAGAGGCTGAATTGAAGCTTCGAACATCGAGGCTACGCCAGTGTATTCGCTTAGAACACGAGGGATGAACTGAAACCTATACCTCGGGAAACGATTAACTACGAACATTGATGTAGCTCGCAAAGCGTGATTGCGAGGAGACCCTAACCGTGGCAGAAAGCAGAGGGTAAACCGAAAATAAACTGCTCGTTCACACGAGTAATGCTCCTGCCGGTCGTTGTTCGATCCGCAACAGTGGGACGCGGCTGTCGATTCGTCAGCGAAATTCGCTTTTACTCGGTGGAAAAGCGCAGGCGTCGCACCCACATAGATAATTCATAATGACGTGGCAGGCTATAGTTGTCATTCCTGCCCACGGAAGCTTCCACGGTTCCTCCATCGACCCTTTTCTTTTCCTTTTTGCATTCTCTCTCTTTCTTCAGCGTCTATCTCGCCATGCTCCTTCCATTCGGGACTTTTTCTGCCTCCTCGAGTAACTTGTGACTCCACGAGCACAGTGTCACAGATCTTTTAGCGTAATTGGTTCCGTGCACGTTCCGTGAGGACGATACGCGAGCTCTTTATTTTATTCATCCTCCTCCACTATTGTTTTTATTGGTATTAGAGACGACGTAGGGTTCCTAATGTAGAAAAAATTTTAAATGTTCATCGTACGATGTCTATAGTTTCGTACTGGTCCCTTTTGAATTTCGCGCCTGAAAAAGGCAAAAATGGTGCTGTTCGTTTATTCGTCATCTTTCCTTTATTCAAATGAACATAACTTTTATAGATAATTAGGTTTTCAATTGAGTTTCCGTTCTGCATTCCTACTTCTCGATCAATGAATAAATTAAAATGAATGGGAAAAGATATTTTTTAGGTTAGGTCTCAACACGTCCTAATCTAAACCCGTATCGGAACGCCTCCTTTGAAGATGTCCTTTGAATTTACTAAGACCGTCGAATCCTTCGAGATTTCTCAATTGAGCGCACCGAAGTAGAAGGTAAGCAGCTTCGCTCGTATTAGAAGCGTGAAGTGAAAATTGTTCAACTGGAGAAGCAGTTTGTTGAACTTGTATCGTTCGACGTGTTTATCCACGCCACTCCATTACGTTGAATGATCTATCGAGTTTCGTTCGTTCCACTCCTTCACCCAGCGTGGAAAGGACAACGTTAAGTCCTGTTGGTCGGTATTTCTCAAACTTTACCCACGGCTGTCCACTCGAACTAACCACTTGACTCGGTAGCCCATCAGCCTATCGTGTAACCTCCTTTCGCTAGAGTTGTTTGGGGTATCCCGTATACAATGAACGATATCTCGCTTATCGTAGCTTCTACGAGAAAAGTGTACATAACAGAACTTACTGCAAATCAAATTCATCAACTTTTTTATTCCATACAAACTTACGCTAGAATCGATAGTAACCGAGATATCGACTCTTTCTTGGATACACTGCGTTTGCAAGAAATATCGCAACTTAATTTATTTTCAAACTGTTTGGTCAATAGTTTCGACTATCAAGACACATTGTTATGTTGCTTTTTTCGGGCAAGGAGTGTTCAATTTTTTTTACCAACTAAACAGAGTGCAGACCGGTTACTTTCGAGAGCTCGTAATCCTGAGGGTCTTCAGCAAATGGGCTCCCCTGCTCCACGTTCTCCTTCCTCTCTTTCTTTTTCGTCCAGCCGGAAGAAGAGGGATTAAGGGTAGACTTACGCGGGTATCCTTCCCGTTCCTTGGTCCTTTGAGGCCTTTATTAGCGGCGTTTATGTACTCGGGGCTTGTGAAATACTCCTTCTGGAAACTTATCGCCCCGGGCATTTCAAATAACACCCTTCCCACGGTGTTTCCTCCCTTGCACTCACGCCCGCTGTTTTTCTCATCGCGCTGCCGCAGTCTGCGGCGTTCAACCTGCAAGTTAATTAACCCTTTGTGCGCGGATCTAAGCTCTCCTATATCGCGCCAGACTATCTAAATTAAAACCAGAAACTATCACTAGTTACCTCTGACTATATAACCGACAGTTTTGGAAATTTGCCATTGTTCTTTCCCTCGATTTCTTTCGCTGTTAATTTAGTTCGTCCCCCGCCACGAACGTGTCGTGATGTTCGGGAACTAGGAATATTTCGGGCAGAGTTTACTTTCCGAAGCAGGGGGCAATTAGGCGATGGCGAGGCATTACTTTCCCCGCGTTTTCACCGAGTCGATGGGTTCGATTCGTTCAACGGCGAAGGAAATGAGGAAAGTTACGTTCGAGAGGGCCAAGAAAACCGTGCAGTGTGAAAATATTTTCTCGCGGCGTTATCGAGTTTCCACCATTCATTCCGTTCGAATGCGCTCGCCGTGAAAAGCGTCGTTGCGATGGAAGTTACGCCGGGCACCTTATAGGGTGGACCGACAGGGACGTTAAGAAGAAGTTAAGGACTGCTTTATATCGCTTGTAGTCGCCGGAAATCCCAACGTAGCGCGCATCTGTCTGCTACCGAAACTTCCTACCCGTTTAATCCCCTTAATTTACGTTCGGATATCGAGAAATTTTCCTTGGATTTCCTTTGCTCGTTAGAATCGACTATGTACAGCGCGATACGAGGAACTCCGTTATAACTCCGCTTAGAACAAAAACACAGAACACTTGGAAGATAAAGACTTTGGGAAAGTTTTACGTTAAATGTCTTCCTGGATATTAATCGCCTAGGCCGCTAGTTTAATGTTTACCTTGGTCGATTGGATTGACTGAACCTGAGATAGGAAAGGTATCAGAAAGTATGCTGGAAATACAGCACACTAATCCATCTGAGGACTGACAATCTTCTCAAAGCGAATAAGGCATCAGATAACGCGATAGAAATCATCTTCCACGCTAACTTCTATAAGAAGACGAATCTCTGACGTAACCTCTAAGCTAAATCATGCACCACATAGGAATATAATCGAAGCAGACCGGGGAAAATCAAAATGAACTTCAGTCCGCCTAAATCTTCGCTGGCCCACCTGAGTTGTCCGTTTGATTCGCTAGGTGGCGCGGAGCTTCCCAAGTGGCGCTAGCTGTACGCACCGCTTTAAGGCTCAGTCCTGGGCAACAGAGTAGCCGACCTATTCGATGAACGTCGACGGACGATCGACAGATAGTAAACTGACTACAAGTATTACAAGAACAGTCCTAAAGCGTTTAAGCTTCGCGAAGAGCGACGAAGTTGGCGATTAATTGCTCGGTTAATTGTCTCGCGAAGTAACAACGGTGAAAGTTCGCGATGGTAATCGGGTAATGTCGTCAGGCGCGGGAGGGAAGCGAATAAATCGTTGGAGTTGCAAGGTTTGTAAACGGTGGCGGTATTTATAGTTGTAGCGGGGGTGGGAAGGAGGTAAGGCGAGGCGATAAGGGAAGAAGGGCCGACGGGTTTGCAGGAGGGGTTAAGGAGAAACCAGAAGCAGCCTTTTTATCCTCGGAGCTGCGATGGAAGAGGTTCTCGTTCGCAAATGAGGCACGAGCGGCGAGATAAGAGTGGAAAAGCCGCGGGCCAGGCCAGGGTCGAGCGTATACACGAATAAAGGGCGATCAAACGCGATAAAAACTCGGCTCGAGAACCGATAAGACCTAATTGAATGTTCCCTCTCGATTTTAGCTGGCCATAAAGCCGGAAACTTTAGACGAGGCCTGGCCTCTGCCGATAACCCTGCAGCCCCCTCTTCCCGCACAACCCCTACACTCCACCGTTCGACACACATTTCGCTTTTTGCATAACCTACTTTGCGACACACGGTGCGCATCGTAGATTCCTTTTCAGACGCGACGC